AATGTTCTCGTATTCGCTCCTCTCTAATATTCTCGGGCAAGTTTCCTACCCACAAATACCTAGTCTCTCTGACCATGGTGCCCCGAACACCACATTGAGAACGGCAGCCGGCTGCTCACACTTTGCAAAATCTCACGTCCACACGCACAAACCAAATTCCACCGGGATGAACAAATTCACCGGTAACAAATCACTGCAACAAAAAACCACAGCCGCCTGGACAACATCACTTCTTTCCACATTTTTCAGCGCACAATCACATGGTTGGCCCCGGCACTTCTCACAGTAGTTGCTGCTGGGTAAACGACACTCATCGAACTTTTTTCGCGCGGGTGGGTTTACACGATGTATGATTTTCCGGTCACTATTTTTTTGGGGTGAAAACTACGAAAATGTGTCCGTATATGCGAGTAGCTGCTTCCCTCTACGTTTCACTTCATTTTCTCGGTCTACACACAACGACTGGGCCGATTTGAGCTGCGGCGGTCGAGCCACCCGACAGTGTTGCCAACTCGATCAAACAACATATCTCATCAATCTAGAGTGAGTATTCATGAAGGAATTCAATACATTAATAATGTGTCTTGCAAATGTGTTGTTCAATAGTTTTCATACGCACCAACAGGATATTATCGAAATTGATATAAAACCTTGAGCGGGCTCTTAGCTTATTTTAGTACCCTATGTAGTTATAACAAAATTAGGTTCATGGGAATATTTATAAGTGATATTAATAATACATCTATTTGTTTGATAAGTAAATCAGTTCATTGTCTACTGCTTTTATCAGTCTTAGAAAAAAATATATTTCTGAAAGGAAAAAACTGCTTCGAAATCTTTTTGTTCTCAATCAGCTCTAGGATTAAAATAGGCACAACATATGTAGTTTAGTAGAAAACCTCCTCAGATGAATTAATTCAATAAGGTGCAAGTAACCGAAAAAAAAAAACAATTGAGAGATTTTGATATTTTTTTTTAACTAAACGTTATATTTGATTACAAATTCGCATAGACGCTTCCAAGAGAAGATGATTGATATAGGTATCTTTTGATTATTGCTCTCAACTTTCTACAGTCCTCCACCAGATAGAAAGATTTTTTCTTTATATGCATGCATCGGTTTCATTACTCCAAATTTCGGCTTGCCAAATTTGCTCGTTCAAAAAATAAATTGAAACGCACTGTATAATTTATACAAAAAATAAATACTAATTTCAATATAGTCACCGACAATATAAATATGCACCAAAGTACCAATTGTAACTATAAGTTCAAAGAAAAATGCATACAAGCAAGACTGAGAAATAAAAAAAATAGATGCCTATGTCGTGCTGTGTACCAAAATGTGTTATGCTACTATCTTCAGTTTTTTTTTTTTTTTGGTACCAGACTGATTGAATATTAATAATAAAATTGATTTCCATAAAATATTTAAGACTATTTTTTTATATTCACTTAAACAAACATCTGAATCTTACCCCCAGTTAAAACGAAATTCAAGTGGAAAAATAACCAAAGTGCGGTGAAAAAATGACTCTCCGCGCTCTCAATGTTATTACAAAAAACGATTTCAATACGAGTGGTGCATCACTACCACCGGAAAGTACTGAATTTGTTGACATATTGGCAACGTTGCGCTCCGCCTATGCTTGCTACCAATCAACGACCTGCCTCTCCGGCAATGTGTGGGACAGAGACGAACGAGGGGTCCCGTCGCAGCAGAATCGCAGACTTTCGTGTACAGGCATACAGCTTTCCTTTATCTTTTGTCTCTCTCTACTGGACTTTTCGGTCGGTCGCCACCGCCATGCCAGCTCCTGTGATGCTACTACTCGACCTGACAACGTTGACTTATTTTTATAATTATTAGGATATATGGTTTGTTTTCGTTCTTGCGAGGATGCGATATCGATTTTGAGCTGTTTAATGTAATTTTTGGAGCTGGACACGCAAATTACGCAAGCAATACGTTTATTTTATCCGGTATTGGAAGAACAATCCAGAAAACTTACAAAATGACATGAATAGAAGGTATTAACACCACAAAAGGTAAATTAAACATATTCAGAGGACTAAATATATTTATACAAAATATATGGTACCTATTTCCAAGACTTTGAAGGCAAGTCAAAGCGACTAGGTAGGTACATACCTAGATACGTATGTGCAGCAACAAACAAAAACTAGGTATGCCCATTATACAGGTACTGAACCTAGCTTCTAAAACTGTAGGTAGTCAATTATTCCTTAGATGCTATTTATTTTGCACCCTTGTGACACGTTCATACAAATTAATTGGCTTTGAAATGTCATTTCCCTATGTTATACTCTGTTACTAACATGGAAGAGACATATCATACATAGGCCAATTCGGATTTAGGAATCTGTTTAGGGGGCGTAGGGGTGGTCCCAGCATTCATGTATTCATATTCATGTTTAGGAACACCTTTCATTTCTAGCAAGGTAAATTTTTATACCAAGATACAGCACTATACTTGGGAAAAATGGAAGGCTTGGACATCTAGGAGGAGGGTGGACCCCCTGTAAATCCACTTTTGCTTCAAACAGATTTTAATCACAACCATTAGAAGTTTGTATATGAAATGTACCTAGACAGTACATATCAAGTTTAATAGAATCCCTACACAATATACACATAACTATAGTACCTAAGTACATCAGATGATATCAGTATCTAGCGAAATTGTAATACTGTAGCGATAATAGGTTGGTACACCCATCTAAGTACTTGTTTATACCAAGGTCGCAAAGTACCTACCAATACGAAGAATACAGAAAAATTTTGCTTATTTGATAATGAACATAAGTATGTTTATCTATAATCTATATGGAGTAGGATGCCTTGGTTGTTCTTTCAAGTTCTCAAAATTGTGTTGACCAGTTACAGTATTAAACAATCAATCAGGCCAACGAATTCAGACTAGGTAGAAGGAGCAAGCAAACGACTTGTTTGTCTCCAAAATCTAATAGTCTGTAGTGATTAATGCATACTACAAGTGGACTTGACATAAGTTAATTTTTTGACAGTTCTGTCATTGAATTCGTACTTTTAGTATTACTTTTTAAATGTGCGAGTGATAATTGCGGTGTTAGACGATTTCAGAACATGGTACTTCTTGCATATTTGCAAAGAGCGGCACAAGTCTAATGAAGGTTGACATTATATAGGTTTCTTGTGACATTATGTAGGTTTTTCTACAAGATAGCTGTACGTATTGCAGAAACATCATGACGCTTCAGCTATCAATGTTTGGCTCTAACATAGATGGCATTGCTAGAGGTTTAAGCTGTAAGTTGTATATTATAACTAGAACGAAACGGCAGGGCATAGGTGCATAGTGATGATTTGTGTGCTAACAATATGCGTTAATAATAATTCCCTTAGTTTGCTGAATTTCAAAAATGAGAGAGATCAAAAAAGAAAATCCGTGGTTGGTGAAGTTCATTATAACTGGTGAGAAACTTGGCTTCAGACAGGAATATTTATGGAACGTGAAAAGGTTATTACATTTTACTTTATTTTTTATTTCCAGTCATTTAAATTATAATATAAAATATAATAAATAAATAATTAAAAAATAGAGAAATTTATTTAGCGATGTCAAGTAGAAAATACAAATCAGTGCCTAGATGTGAGACACTGCGAAAATGTTTGTGTGTGATGTGTCATTTGTCATGTGACAATTACACACAACGCGGGTGCGGTGGTAATTTCCTATAATGCTTCTCAGTTTTTGTTAAAACGCAAAAAACCGGGGAAAATTGTAATTTACAGCTTTGAACATAACTTCTCTTGAGAAACAATAACACAAATAATACATCTAGTAGGTTGAGTCATTCCTCCACAGATGACGCTAAGGTGACGCTCACAGTGAGCAATAAAGCGGAACGAAGTATTCGTACACTAGCGACTATCTATAGTCAGAAAGTTGATGTTTGGTCGGTTTTTTTTAACATTATATAGGTTTTCTATGAAATACCTAACCCTGAGGAGCGAAAAGTGTCCTCATTTTCAAGATCAAAAGAAAATTACCGGCTTGAAGTTCAAATTCCAACCTCAAATCGACCTTCTGTCGTCTGTCATTTTCAATAATAACCGTTTTTATATTGCAGGCATCAAGCACATTTTTTTTTGTCCGATGTCAACTAGGTGGCGCTATCATTATGCATCCAGTGAATAGAGGTAGGGAGGTAGGCGATTTGGTGGCAACTCGCAGATATCCAGTTGAATTCTCAATTTCCCCCCCCTCAGCTGAAAGTCTGTATCCAATTCTGATTTTCTGGTTTTAAGTTTACGAAAGTGTTTCTGATATATTGAGGTACCAAAACGGAAGAGAGTAGCATAACATAGCATACGCTACTGCTAGAGCAGCGTGCCTTTGTATGGGCAAAGTCGACACGCGGATCGTATTGAAAGATATGCCGCGCTAAAAGTGGCGTACTGTGTTTGCTGCTCTATTCCGCTTCGATACCATACTATAGGTACCTAGGTAGGTACCTTTTCTACTAAATAGGTAAGTACCTAGGTACCTATACAATATTTTTAAAGGACTCTGAGTAAGTCTATCAAGTACTTAGGTAGGTAGAAGAGTTATGAACACTCAGTAACGTCATCGTAAGTACCGACCTAGCACGTAGCTAGGTGGAAAGGTTGGTTGGTACCTAGGGATGTGCAATGGTGCCTACCTACCTATCTACATAGTTAAGCATTTACATGAATCTTGTTTTTTATATTGCTCACCACATTCCGAAACCGATTCCTTTAAGATCTGGCTATCCTTCGTATCTTGTCTATTTTCAATGACTTTGAAACCATTTTAAGCTACGTAAATAATAAAAAACCCTCCAAACAGATCAAAAATAATGCTGCTAGTGAATGTTTTCGGTTCCGCCAATAGCTGGTTTTAATTGAGGCGTGGGCTAGTCCACTTTATGCGCCGGGGTGGGGTGGGTAGGTCGAACACACTCGTAGAGATACACAAGTACAGAACGAAAACGGTATTATAGGTGTTTCACTGTTCGTCTGTCCGCTGTACAGTGTACGTTATAAGGAAAACTTGGTGTACATTAAATTTTTACAACAATGGGTAGGTCGGTAGTACGAAACAAAGTGCGTTTGTTACAAAAACTGGAAATTGCGTCGTGGCATTTTGCGGAAAAATGGGCGAAGGAAAGCGAGGGATTATTAAGGTTGCTAGATCCCGGGCTCGATACGGTCTGGAATTTATTTCGGAATGAGCTAACTGGGGAATTTGAAGAGCAGCTCTGTTTGTGAATAGAGATTTGGTAAAATTGGGAGCCAATATTGCTGATGCAGCATTCGTCGGAAAATAGCCGTCTTCTGAGGCGTTGATGTCGCGATTTGGTGAACAGAGAATATAAGGCAGCTGCTGTTGAGGATTTGCTTAACCAGCTCTGTGTATTTGCCAACATATACCTATTTACAAAATGGAGAAAATAGCGATGGTTTTTATATCCTTTTTGTAGGTACCCACCTAGATAGGTGATACTTTTGAAAACCTGGGGGACACTATTTATGGTACTTTTGGCTTCACAACGGATTAATTACCTTTGTTACTTATATTTGTTTTATTAGGAAATTACAATACTTGGATCTCGTCGATATATTCTTGAACCAGGAAGTATAGAGTAAAGAGATAAAAAGTCCGAGTCTATCTACATACCTAGGTATCTACTGAAAAATAATTAAAAAACCATCAGATTATTGTGACCGCGAATAGCCAAAAAATAATTGAGATTAGACACACTATTACAAATGCCTTCGTGACGAATGGTACGTACTGCGAACGATGATACCTAGCACCTACCACGTGACTGCTAGGTGTGTTGATAAGAAAAATAAGCCTAATACCAGAGAACAACGCTCCACAAACATCTGTAGCCGTATGACTATGACTGCCAATCTTCTATTAGTAAATTCCTATACCTTTTTGATAGTCGTTCTCCAACCGTAGGAAGCTAGAGCTAGCCTAGCCTACGTGACCAGTCGAATATGTTCTTCCGTTCACGTTCAGCGGTTCAGCATTTATTAGCTGCAAGCGCTTTTGCTAGGTCAAATCGATATGTCGCTTTTGGGCATTTAGCGACACCTGGTAGTATAATTTTTACTTAGACATTTATCCATTACAGAACACGAACGTGGGCTACATTTGTTCGGCCTTTAACCTACAGAGAGAGAGAGAGATAGGCGCGGATTAAAGATCAAGTCTTGGAGGGGGCGAGTAGTGCGGGTTGCCTAGTGTCAGGGGTCTTGTCAAGTTTGCACTTATGCACTTAAAGAGTAAATAATTAAACTCATAAACAGTGTAAGAACAGAATGCACATTTATTTTAAGTTTTCAAACCAAAAACATCTATCCTTCTTTACCTTTTACTAATTTTTTTCCTTGTAAGTCTGAGGCCTTGGGGGGCAATTGCGCCTGGAGCCTGGAGGGAGGGAGCGAGAGTATATTTACCAGTGGCGTATTCTGGATGAGTTCATGAAACGGCGACGCGGAAGGTATTTACATCTTGCTAGTTTTGTATCAACGACAACCCGTCGAAGAACGGCGCCCGTATTATTTAACTTAAAAGGTGACATATCGATTTTTTATAACAATATGTAGTTTTTTTGATACTAGGTATTACTATATGTCACCTTCGAACACAAGCTGACATTCGTTTCAAGCTCACTTGTAGTAAGCGACGATTTTTTTGACATTATATAAGTTTTTACGTAACAATCCTGCCGTTTTGGACGGATCCTGCGTTTGCAGATTTAGAAAAAAGTGTTCCAACACTGTTTCTTAGCATACCAGGATCATTCTATGTTTCACTTTAACCAGTTTTGGGATCATTCTGTAAATGTTTTGTTAATGAGAATTTGGCGCATGGTAAAGCTATGGCGACGTCGCTTGCATTCGTACCCAACATAACCTATTATTGAAATATCGATTATCGTGTTCGTTGCCACTATATCTCGACTATCAAAACGGAAGAGAGAAGTAGTGAAATCTGTCCCATGTAAAATGAGGCAAATATTCCGCATTCATCATTTTTCAGACCAAAAGAGAATTGGCAATTTGAAATCAAAATTGTTCCTAAACGCAAATTTTCATCTATATTCGTTTATTTATCATGAAGACTAGAAACAGGAAGACACATATTTGTATGATAAGGAGGGCGTGGCTCTCGGAAATATAGTGCGCGTAAAGCTTCACATACACACACACATATAAACACAAAAATAACGATATCAGCAGCGGGATGCAGACATGAAAGATATGCCGCATGTGCAGAACGTGAAATACATTTCTGACCTAATGGCGACAGTAGTTAGCATGCTTTTAGCTTCATCCTCGCTCAATGGTTTCACCCTCGCGTTTACAGTTTTCATAATTTTTAAGTAGCATCTGTCAAGCACAAATATTTCAGGCTGATCTCCGCTAGGTGGCGCTGTTATCGCGCTCCCAGCGAAAGGTTTCTCATGGTTGGTTGGACCAACGAATTCAGACTAGGTCAGTCAAGGATTTCTTTGTCTTCTAATTATCATACTTTGTAGTGAGGATCAAAGTGTTCTTGACATAAGTCACCTTTTTGACAGTTCTGTATATTCAGTGTTATTTTTTAAAAATGCGAGTGTTAGACGATTCCAACACATGGTACTTCTTACATAATTTGCAAAGAGCGGCATGAGCCTAATAAAGGTAGTTATTTTCACCGGTAAGTATTATTATTATTATTATTATTATTATTATTATTATTATTACTATTATTATTATTATTGATGCAGCGCTTTCACTTTGGTAGGCATTGGTAGATAAATGAGTCAAAAGTATGCATTATAACCCCGCGACTGTCTATTCGAATTCGTTGACACAGTCTTAAATGTACGTAAATTTTGTTTTAAACCGGTGTATCTTTATAAATCTACGATCATAATCGACCCTGTATACAATAAATGTGTCATTTTTTACATTGGCGTCAAACTGTTGTGAAGTGATCTTTCATACCTATACTGAAAAGTCACTGGTAGAAGAAGAAAAATTCTAGTGTAATCTGTATGAATATAACGCAATGGAGTTGGAGGCCAAACTGGATGAAGATTTTTTATTCTATCTGAATTTTTCCGACACATTCTTGAGGAAGATCACCAATAAGGATGTCGCTCAAAAGTGTGAAGTAAATGGCTTACAATATTATTTATATTTGGATTAGACGAATGTTCACAGAAATGTGATTATTTCCGTATTTAATCGTAGCTTCTAGTATTTGCATTTGAACTTTCCAGGTATGGCTAGCTAAATTACTAGCTGAACCCGCCGAAGGCATAGACAAGAAAAGATGCCGAAATATCTATTTGGCTCATCTGCTGATCAATATGCAGAATGGGGTCTTGGAAAAACCATTTTCTGAACCGCCGCATGATGCTGATATCCGAAATGCAACCCAAATTTTTGGACCGATACCGGAAAGCATCGAGGTAACTTTTACATATATGGCACAGTACAAACGGGTATTTGGACCTCAGGCCTGCAGGGTGATTCAAGTGTTTAAAAATAGTACGGCTCACACACTCACTCGTACAATTATTGTATGCCAAAGCTGTTTAGAAAATAATTAAAGTTGAGTTATTTCATTGCATAATATGTTCTTTTTCTGAAATATTGTTTTATTTCAAGATTCTCAATTGTTCAAAAATATACGAGGTTAATATATCTCTTATTGCTCGCTTCTCGCACTTCTCTCTCGTAGACATTTTGACGTCAGTAGTACATGGATTTCACTGTGTATAGTTATATGGGAGGGTCAGATTAGGCCTTGAGTAGTGACTGTAAAATTTATTTTGAGTAATAACTGGATCAAACTGTTTTGTATGTTTCAATGGAATATTAGCCTCCAGCTTGGTTGAATGACACAGCGTACGATCCAAACAAGTCCGAATATCGTGAGAAAAAAGATGGAAGAACATACGTCGCCACCAGAACATTGCCGGATGGTCAAGGTGCTGTAGCTTATGTTGGAGTTTCTTTATGTGATCAAGAGCCAATGTGGCTTGGTGGTGGAGAAAGGTAACTCGTTACCTATAAGGTGTACAAGTGTGTGCTAAGAGAATCAATGTAGCAATTGTAAATTGCATTCCAAATTTACGATGCATACTCTAATTACGATCTAATATACTATGCAAAATACAAAACGAACATTGGCTCTGGCTGGCCGAAGCTTCTGCAGTTTCTTACAATAAAACCGTACGCCCGTTAAGCTTGACTCACTTTTTGAGCTATTTGGAGTGAAAAATTAAGTTTATGGGTCAAAAACTACACCCAAATCCTTAACTGAGTCACAATAATTTATGTAAACATCCCAATCTTATGATTAAATTTACAAACAAACGTTTTCCTTTAAAAGCTGACTACACTACACTTAGACGCATTAAGAAATACATTTTTCTTGATACACCAAGCTACTAAAAGCATTAATATCCTGTAAGTGCAGAATCAATAACCTCGAATATTTTTAAATCATCCACAAAGAGGAGTTTTAATTTTAAACATTGCGCAATCATCAATAAATAAGGTAAACAATGTTTGGACCCTGAGGCACACCCGATTTAGTTACATACTGGTGTGATCTGAAGCCAATGAAAGTCGTCTATAAATGTTTCTTCTACGTATTTTTTTTTAATTATAATTGGAACTCATAAGAAAATAATGGTAAACTTCTCCTTCATTCAAATGCCCTGTGTGCGAGTATATTAATTTGACAAGTTAATTGAGAGTGACCCTTTTTTCATTTCGCTTTATCCGATAGCTCGTTTGATAAGAGGATGCAGCGAAAATTCGACGATATGTGCCCGCCGCTCTATGAAATAGAAAAAATCTTGGCCAGAAGAAAAGATCCGAAGGAACGAGAAAAAGTTTTAGCTTTCTACGATGTCTTGATGCAGAATATCGCCGATGAACTGGATGGTGAGCGTCTATTTTGCTCTAAAGATCATAATTAAACAGTATCACCGAGCATTTTATCTATGTAATTTCCAAAATGCTTTATCTTTATTCAGTATTCTATTTTTAATCTCCAATATGGTAGAATAACAGCTGGTATTCTAGTAATATTTCAAATTTTCCCATATCGACAAATGGCTCATAATTCTGAAAGAACCGTCAACGCTAGGTAGGCAGTACCGTATTTTGTTTTGTTCTTTTTTGTACGCGACAGATTCATTTTGTACTTGCTAACAACTCTTTCGTTTAAAAGTTCATTTGCATACAAACAAAATCTCTACAACCAAGTTTTACTAGATTTACACCCGATTCATTATTGCCAACGTTACAGACTAATATAAATATATCACTTGCTGATTGGCTGCTCACCTCAGTAGACGTCAAAACGTGATTAATACCTACTCGTGAAATAGGGTGTACTTTGAATTTCCTGTGAAATTGGTGAAATTACAAAGCACTCTTCAAACATGCTAGAAAACAAGACATTGTGTTGCCTATTTCATTTAGCTTTCCATTTTTGCGAAATAGCGGAGAGCTCTCTTGAATGTCATAGTCGTCGCACTAGGTGATATGTGAAATATACAACGAAATCTGGAATCTTTCTCAGGGTCTTTTGATACAAAAATATTGAAAATACAGACAGCGCTGATTTTGTCAATATTTTAAAATCTCCCAGGCAAGGAAACTGCAGAGAATGAAACTATAGAAGGTTTGTTGGTACAGCTGGTTCACGACCTTATGGACAAAAACCAGTATGCTCAATATGAAGAACTACCGGAGAATGAAAGAAGGAATGAGCTTTTACTATTGCTCTTTGATAGAGTGAAAATTAGGAGGGACAAAGTAAGCATGTATAAAAGAAGAATACTATTTTCTCTTAGTTTCGATAAAACTGTTATTATCATAGATTACGTAGTCGTGCCATAAGTTCTGTCCCATGATAATCTCATGATAAAAATGAAACAAGATAAGATATATTTATATGAAAGATATTATTTATTCGACAACATTTTTAGAATTCATAATCAAACAGTTTTATTCAAAATGTCCCCCCTTGGCCTTCACACACTGCTTCAATCTCGCGGGCCACTCATCTATCACTGCACGCACAGCTTCCAAAGGAATAGCTGCCGCTGATCGGATCAAATCCGCTTTCAGGGACTCGATATTACGGTGGGCTTTGGAGCAGGCCAACTGCTCTAGCAGGTCCCACAACTTGTAGTCTAAAGGATTGAGGTCCGGACTCCCTGAGGGCCAATCTTCCGCAGCAATGAACTCTGGCACATTGCTTTCCAGCCAGCGCTGCGTACTCTTAGCCTTGTGAGCGGGGGCGGAATCCTGCTGGTAGACCCAGTGTTGGTTGGCAAACAATGTACCACTTAAAGGCTTGACGATAGGATCCAGTATGTCGCTCTGATAGTTTGCCGCTTTTGTTTTCACGCCCTGTTTACAGAAATGGAGCTGAGTGACCCCTTCGTAGGACAACCCCCACCAAACCATGACTGACGCAGGGTGGTGGCCTCTCTCAACTCTCGGAATGATCTCCGAAGCTTCCTGTGAACTCCTTGCATACACTTTGTCATTTTGTCGGTTGAATTTTTCTTCTATGGTGAAGATTTTCTCATCCGTGAACAAAATCTTTCGGAATCCCCCAGCTGCGTACCTCTCCAAGAGCTTCTTGGATCTTGTCGCCCTGATGTGTCGCAAGGTGGCCGTAAGTCGCTGGCCCGTACGTCTCCGGTAAGCCCCTAGCCCTAGGTCTTGTTTAATGATGCGCGACATCGTCCGGACAGGAATCTTCATTTCCCTGGATAGGATCTTCTGCTTCCGGAGTGGATTCCTTTGAATCCTGGCTTTTACGGCTTTGATGGCTGCTGGAGTCCTTACTTGACGAGGTCTTCCGCTTCTTGGCCTGTCATCAACAGAGGACGTCTCATTGTACCGCTGAATGGTCCTAGACACAAATTTACGCGATATTTGAAGGCCGCGTAAGAGTTCAAAAATCTGACTAGCACTGTGATTACACTTATGTAAAGCTATCACTGCAATACGGTTCTCTGCCTTGCCCCACTCCATCGTTATGCTTCGAGAGATCAATACAAACTGAGGTATATGTAATTACCCGAAAAGCGCTTAATCAACTGACACCACAATGTAAACAATCGGACAAGTATTAACAGGTCTACAAACACTTGTTTGAAAACGAGGGACAGAACTTATGGCATGACTACGTATACATACATTAATCCCAGAGATCATAGAGTGCTTTTCAAAAAGGTCCCTCACTGTATTTTTTAACTAAATTAAATTGCTGCATGAATACTATATTTTAGCATGAAAGTGATATTTGAAACTTTCAAGATGGTCGCTAAAAAAAAAAATTGATCAAGATATCTTACCGTCCTCATGGAATTTTCAACAATTACCTTTAAACTGAAATATATTATTTATTTCAAGTTTATTAATGTAAGTGGGAGGTAAAGTAAGTTACCTATTTCGCGTTCTTGTTTTAAACCAGGTTCAAAGAAGAGAAGAAATATTGGACAACCTGGAAGAAAAACTGATGCCCAAATCCTTCTTCGATGTATCTGATATTCTTCCTGAAGATAAATACAAGATGCCAGCTGCCATGTGGGCGCAAGCTATCGACAAGATTCCATCTAAGAATCACATGGAAAACTTGCAGAAGGCGTATCCTCTCCTCATTATCATGAAGTAAGATAATTTTGCTTCATTTGTACAACACAAAGTGTATCGCGTTTTTGTTTTTTGGAAATAGGCAGAAACGTTGATCCATCAATATACGTCCATCTATGTAATTTTTGTCGAACATTCTTTAACTAGATATTGTAATTATTGGTGAATTGAGAGATGTGAAGTACTTTTATTTTGAATTCCTTAAAGGTTTTTGGAGTGCCTGTCCAATTACAAAGAAAATATTGCGATGCGTATGCAGAGAAGGCATGAAAACATCGTCACTCAAATGAAGAAAGAATTGAGAAAGGAAGGTGAAAAGAAAAAGAAATTGATGGAGGTACTTAACGTCTTGGTTGACGGACTTCTTATAGCCATATTATATTCTAAGCTCAATCAGCACCATCATGAGGCTGTTTATTCCAGTTTAGAATACAGAGAGAATCGCAAAACTTGGAAGACTAAAAAAATATTAGAGAAAATTTGTGATTTCAGGAAGCTGAAATGGCTTGCGACAATGCTACCGGCGTTTTGGAGGCAGTGAAAGAACATTACAATAAGAAACTACAGTTGGAGAAGAAAGAAAAGCAAAAGGACAAGACCGAAGTATCAGAACATTCTAAAATGTATGACCAGATGAAGACAGCTGTATTCGATACCCAGAGATTAGTTGAGGTAAAATATGAGAACTTTAACCAGCATATTAGCTATGTGCTAAGTGGCTGGTGTTGGACCGTCTAATCAATCGCAGCGCACGATGTGTCAAAAAATGATTCTAGAGCATAATTTTTGGGCGCAGTTGAAAGAAATGAGAGTTAACGTGGGCGTAAATATGAAATTTATGAGATATATTAAATAATGATTTTTTATTTAATGTCTCATAACCTATCCTAGAATTTGAACGATTTATAATATATTTTTGATGTGGATTATGAAATTGCGAACTAATTATGCAGTTGTTAATCTGTCTATCCGCTAATCCTTGGCTCGTCTTAAGAAGCACCGCTCGGATTTTCATGAAACTTTTAGTAACATTGTGTACTACTGTGCCAAGGATGCAGTTTTTGAAAATCGGCCCAGTGGCGGCGGTGAAAAAGGTCACAAACGGAGGGAATAAAAATCGACCAAACTTCGTTTTTTAACCCTTTAAAGGATCCTGATCATTTTTTAAAAATATTTTAGAGGTAAAAGGGGGAGGGTGTATAGCATTTTTTATGTTAGTATATTAATACACTTCTAGCCCCGATAATTCTACGCACCTATTAGACATATTTCACACATCATAGATTATTCCGTACATATGCCCGTAAAACTTAGAAAAATGTTTTCGACAAGCATCCCTGGGCCCTCTGACAAACGGCCGCGACCGGCGTGCCAGTGTTCGTAGGTGTTCTGCATCACTGGTGCTCTGTGTGAGCTCTGCCGCCTGAGATTTATCATGCTTTCAAATATCGGGGAGAGGCGACGCGACGTTGCCAGATGGTAAAAGATACCAAACCACAGACTACTGTTTCGTGCTTTTTGGGAACTCATCAGCATGGTCTCTGGGACAACGAACGAAAGCAAAGCAGTTATCCTTTATCCAGGATATAAGTCCCATGGCATGGTATTATTCCGATAATGGTTATCTTGTGCTGAACATAATCCTACGAACTGATGACGACGTTGCGTGGCGTCAACCTGCTTGACGTCATTTTTGTATTTTTACTAATGTACCACTAATTTGCTTGTTTAGGAAGAGGCACTTCGTGGCAAATTCCTCGCTGCTCAAATCAACGCGTTGACGGAGCAGAACGAGCAGTTCATGCAGGTAAATGACGAGGTCATCAAGAAGACCGAAGAGGGCAACATGAAAATAATGAGGAACATCAAGAAGCTGAATGCTGCCATCAAGCAGTATGAAAACCTGATCAACGAGCTGAAAGCGAATACCGGTTCCAAAAACACCACGCCCATGTTTGTTTTCTAAGATTTGCACTACAAGTGTTGCAAAATAACTGTCATTTTTAAGATTCGAATATCTAATTATAATAAACAGCATGCAATAGGTGTTGGAGAATTCCTGATTTCCACTTAATAATTATTTACCGGGTGTTTCAAATTTGACTCCCACCATTGAGATTTCGGAAACGGTCGATACGAGGGTCGATTAAACGGGGGAAAAGTTGCGCATTCAAGTGACAAGGGTATCATACTACTTTATTTGAAATGCGATTTGAAAATAAGGAGTACATCAGCATTGCCACTTTTCATTTTTTCTTATAGACGTCATATTGGATCTTTGCACAAGGTGAATTGGGTTTTTAATTCTGCTTGCCAAACCAACTAAAAAAGCATTCCTTCAGTTCTTACACACTTAATATCCGTCATATCTAAACCGATGCACACATCTTGCCTACAAATACATTTATCTACGGATGAGGTGTCATGTAGAGTGCCTCCATCGTGTTAAACAAACCCTTGTTATAGTCCACACATGTGAAAATTATCTGATATCGTCAGTCGTTCTTATAATAATTGTAAGAACGACTGACGATCCAATTATTGTAGGTCGCGTTTATGGCCTACTTGATTTTCATGGTCTTTTCTACACTTCAGAAAGGCTGGGATATTTCTAGAGTTCTACTGTTCCGTGTCAGCGTCAACGCTCTCCTATTGTGAGGTCTATGCTTTCTTTTTGAATCGAATGAAATTTCAGGCTATATAACAGATGATATAAATCAAAAGCTTCAACAATTTGATGTAAATTGATATTTGTAACATAACCTTAAAATAGAGCGCTAACACGGAACAGTAAAAAACTATGAAAATCAAGGAGGTCATAAAGGCGTCCTACAATTGTAGGAACGACTGACGATACGGCCCTTAATCGGCTAAACATGTGATATACTGTATATTTTAATTTCTACGTACCTTATACTAGACATACTTCATACATCATAGATTTCGCCCTACATTTGCCATTGAAACGAATAAGAGGTACATTTTTGATATGTACATGCCAGACAACTTAACGAGCATACGCCTCTGTCTCGAATGCTGAAGGATAAATGAGCGATGATGCGTGTATCCTTGTATGCGTGCTGGGGTTTCAAGCGCCGCGGCAGGCAGAGTTGGTCGTCGGTAGGTCGGTAGGCTAGATCGGAATATTGTCCGAGATAATCCATTTAATTCCCTTGTTATACAGGGTGTTCCATAATTATTGCGACAAAATGATAGGGGTTGTAGAGGGCATAAAAATATGCAATTTTGCCTTATAAACCCCTGTTCGTAAATATGCCGTTTGAGCACTACCGCTAATTTTACCTTAAGAGCTCATAGGAGAAACAAAAAATTCACCAGCTGCAAAATGTTCGTCTAGCACATTTCATGGTCTCGCCGGTTTGTAAAAAAAAGCCTGCTGTATTTACATTTTTGTTATCGTAAATTCTCCACACCGATTCATTTAATTTATATGAGTGGTGCGTCAAACTAGATAGTAAATAACAGTACCTTAGTGTTAAAATGCAGCGTTATTCGTATGCGGAACTTGCGGATATGCATTTAATTTACGAAGAAGCTGGTGGTAACGAAAGACGAGCCTCGCGAATCTACGCCCAACGGTTTCCAGAACGTCCTCATCCGCATCACGCCATTTTTGCAAGGATTCATGGAGTTGAGGCAACCAAACTTTGGTCGCTACGTTTTGTTCACTGACGAGTCTTGTTTTACAAAGGACGGTTATTTTAATAGCCGTAACAGTCACATTTGGGATGAAGAAAACCGTCATGCCATAGCCATCCAGACCAGAGACCAACATCAGCTTTCAATTGACATCTGGTGCGGCATTGTGGACGAGCATATCATCGGGCCATATTTGCTTCCACCACGTTTGGATGGGCATGCTTATGGTCGATTCTTACAGCATGTGCTACTGGAACTATTAGAAAATGTGTCACTGAACATAAGAGCCAACATGTGGTTTCAACACGATGGCGCTCCAGCCCACTTTTCTTTACAAGTGCGGCAGTATTTGGACGAAAAATTTCCAAATAGGTGGATAGGTCGAGGTGGCCCTGTGCCTTGGCCTGCGCGGTCACCCGACCTGACCCCACTGGATTATTTTCTCTGGGGCCATCTGAAAGCTTTAGTGTACGAAACTCCTGTTCCCAACCAACAAGAGCTACTGGGAAGAGTGATGGCCGCGTCCGCACATGTTCAGGACATACCGGGGGTATGCCACAGAGTTCGCCGATCATTGAACAATCGTGCACAGCTGTGTATTGAGCAAGGTGGAGGACACTTTGAGCAATTACTGTAGGTAAGCTGTTTCAAGAAACTGATCTTTTTTTTTGTTGCAGCCCAAACGGCATATTTCCGAACAGGGGTTTATAAGGCAAAATTGTTCATTTTGATGCCCTCTACAAACCCTATCATTTTGTCGCAATAATTATGGAACACCCTGTATATGTTCGTAGCCACCTTTTTTCTACAAGGGACTAATTTGTGCCTAATATAATATTTCATGAATTGAGGCGTTGGAGGAAGTGTATATTCAACCTCCTTGACGCCATTTTTTATTTTTTTTTATAAGAAGGCAGAATATGTAAATAGTCATCGGCACGGGTATTATCTATAAAACGTCAAAAAAGTACCTATAATGCCGGAACCGCACGCTTGCCAAATCGCCGCAAATCGTCACAAACGCAGACATGCGGATAGAGCGTTTGGCTTGGTTTGCGTGGGTTTGCAAGCGCTTGTAGCCGATCCGATCGGGTGTCGGTTTTTTGGTCGCAAATCAAAAGGAGTTTGCCACAAGCGTTTGTGATACATCCATACGTTTGTGATAGGTACTATTTTTGAAACTAAATATCAATTTCATTAAAACAAATACCATTTACCTGGTACGATTCATATGAATATTTAACATCCACCACCTTCTTGGTCGTATTTTTCGTTTTATCTGACTTTTTTGTTTTATAATAAAAATAGCTTAAGCCAACTGCTACGGCAGACACAAGTTCAACGTCCGTCATGTTTGCCTGTTGCCTTTTCATTGACGCACCCGCAAACGTGTGGACGGCGACGTTTGCTTCTTCAAAAAAAAGGCAAGCGTGCGGTTACAGCATTAGATATCTTGCATATCGTTGTGAGCCTCCATCTATGGAGGAATTGCTCAACTACATGCATACAATCATTGTTGCTTGCATATGTTTTGTGAAGCCGAGTAGTTTATAGTTTTCATCTCTGACAAGAAATTTGGTTACTTGGTTGAATAGCAGATTCGCATCTGGATGATTGTGTGCATTGGTCTGCATGTGTATAAAATCAGTGATACCTATTTGATGTGGGAGAAAATCATTACTGAATATGCGGCCAATGATGTATATCTATTAGCTGTGCCCGACAGATTATTTATATGTTGCCCTTTCGGAAGACAGGTTATGTTCAAAGTTATCAATTACGTTTTTTTTTTGTTTTCAAAAACTTTAAGGAGAATCACGGGAAATCACCACCACGCTAGCGTTGCTCTCTCATTTTTCAAATTCAGCAAATTTGCATATGTAATTTTCAGAATGGATAAGAAAAAGTGGATGCGCAACTAATTTCTGGCTTTGAATCTGAAGTAAGTGTATTTGAAACAAGAATCCAATGGAATTATCATCAACACATGTTATTAGCACACAAAACCTCACTACGCACCTATGCATTGCTGTTACCTCCAGTAATGCCATCTCTGAAGCATATTTTACATCACATCAGAGTCAAACATTGATGACTGAAGCCTCATGACGTTTAGGCAACACATACAACTACAAAACGAGTTCACAACCTGTCCAACATCTTGTAGGAAAACCTACATAATGTCACAAAAAACAATATAAAGTAAAAAAAAACGGCATAATTTTTTTTTTTTATATACTCCAACTACCACGAAGGCCTAAGGCCTAAGCACCCATTGGATACCGTGGGGCTATGGGGGATACATGAGAAAGGGGGGCCGCCACACGGACTCTGGCGAGGGAACACGTGTGCATGCAACATGCACACATTCTGGCTCCGCCTACGAGAACCGCCGGGTGGTACCTCCGCGTTCGACAGTCAGAGACCATCTACCACCTACGGACAATCACAACACATAATGTCACTTTTCAAGATACTTACTACCCGTGCCGATCAGAAGAATAAAACTTGCCTAGGAAACACACGCATTTGTGACGGAGAGTTCATAAAAAATTGTAAAAATGCAAATAATCTATAAACATCGAATCTTTTCGAATATCGACTATATAATCGACATCACTAGGAACACTGTTTGTCAACTTTTGAAGTTTGGACATACTTTGACCTATTGTGTTTTGACAGAGGACAGAAGCATAACACCAGGAAAAAGTGAGCAAAAAGGGCGTTCACCGGTTCAACTTTTGTGGGACGTATTGATTTTATCAAATGCGTACGCATCACGCATCTACATTCTACAAAGTTAGTCCTTTGCAAAATGGTCTAGCTACCCGGTGTGCCCTTTGAGTAATGTAGTTTTAGATAAACTGCTTGGTAATATTAGAAATTGCCTATATTTAGTGAATACCAGCTTTAATCACATTGTTGTGGTCCAATGACTCCCATGAAAGAAGCTTCTCCACCAGTTTCGGCTATGGCCACACCTACCAACAGCAGCGGAAATCTTGTAGATGAATTCGAAGAAGCTTTCCAGGTACCTACGAACCATATTTTTTAATCAGCTCTGTATCTACACTACCCTTCATGACAAGTTTCACAAGTCTCAACCCTGAGGCTAGTCTAATGTGTATTTACTATATTTCCTGTTGAAATGTTCTTTCTGCTTTGAAACTCTACCAAGATGAAAAATATATATTTCTCAAACCTTTGGCAACTTGAACTCTGAATTGCTAACCTAATGCGTGCTGTTTATATTTGCAGCATTGTTTAAATGTTCTCACTAAAGAAGAAGCTGTCCCAACATCAGACAAAGATGAAATCAAGGTGGAAGTAGAGCAAAACACCTTACGCTTCATTGATCTAGCTAGACAAATGGAGGCCTTCTTCCTTCAAAAACGATTTCTCTTGTCAGCTTTAAAGCCAGAAATGAATGTAAAAGAAGACATTAGTGAACTCAGACTAGAATTAGCTCGTAAGGAAGAACTTCTGAAAAGACATTATGATAAGATTGCTGTTTGGCAAAATTTACTGGCAGATCTGCAGAGTTATTCAAAAAGCCCAGCTCAAGGAAGTGCTACACCAAGTGCAGGATCAATTCCTCCATCACCATTGCAGAATATTCCAGGTGAGACTACCAAATTATATTGGAAAAAGTTTTTTTTTTTGTCATTTTTTCCAATAAACTGAATATTTCACATCCAAAAATTGTATACAGGTTCCTATCCTTGCATGGTAATACTGTAGTAAGTGCCTATGAGGTGGCATCACTAGAAAGATGTTGGAGATACTGTACCACTGGTTTGTTTCACTTCAACACTTCCAGCTGGGGTATCAAGCAGCTTGAAAGAACAAAGGAACGGTGGCATGGGTAGGATTGAATTTGCCTCTAACAGATGATCCTGAAAGTGGGTTGGCAGCTAGTGCTGTAGATTAATTGGTTAGGTCAGCTACATAGAATGGAGGAGATGTAGGTTCGAGTCCTTCCATCACCCATATTGCCTTTCTCTCAAGTTGTTGCTTACTAATATACTTAGTAAAATATGCTGTTTCATACATTATTTAAATTATTGCTTACATAACTGTCTCTAGAATTTTAATGACATTTTGTTGATATATCTGACAATTTAGTGAGTACTTAAGCATTCTTTAAATATGTATATGTGATAAAAGATGATATATCAATTTTGTCAGTGTAGTAGGAGACCTTGTGTAGCTGTGTCCCACCAATTAGATGTTCCTTAACTACAAGCTCATACAAACATTCAGTTTGCTGGACCTGTATACAAGAGTGAGTGCTTATAATATTGTATTTCAGGGAACCAAACACCCAATCAGATGATGCAAGGCATGTCTCCAGCAATGCAGCAGCAATTGCAACAACAGCAGTTGCAACAACAACAGCAGATGCAAATGCAACAGTTGCAAATGCAGCAACAACAAATGCAACAATTGCAGGTAGAACGACGTTGAATTTCTTAGTCTATGTGACATTTCCAGTTGCTTATTTTCATATTAGAGAGTCAGTAGTAGCAGCAATAGGAAAAAAGGTCAATGGAACAGTATAATAGCATCTGCCTTTCTTCAGATTTCAATAGAAAAAGAAAATATTCTCACTCATCATATCGGGGTTAATTTTTGAACTGAAGATGTAGAATAACTGAGATAAAGTGGGCATAGTTCTCCCACTTTTGAGGTATTCCTGAACACTGATAGCTGTCCCATCCTCAGGAAAAAACTGCTGAAGTTCCATTGTCATCCATTAGTTTCATTTTTAAAGACCAAGTTATCTTTGAGATGAAACATTCAATGGTATGAAGAACCCAAGACCATATAATTTTGCCATTAAAATATACATTTACCAATTTGTTTGACAATTGTCAACAGCTGTCAATTTGTGATTGAGGTTCAGGGAAAAGAACCACTCCCACATTCTCTCTGTGATTCTACTGCCTATTTTTTAAGAATGGTAATGAACATATGTATCAGCTTGTTTGGTTATAAAATGATTGTAATTGTGGTAATGAGAAATAAATTGTAGTTTATCAATATATCTAAAGGAAAGTGACAAAACATTGCTCTTAGAAATGTATGATTATTGCATCTTTAAGGTGAGATGTAAGAAATATTTGCATAAGCCTAACTTTTACATCACAACTTTGAAATTGATAGAAAATCAACATTCATTGAGGAGCAAATCCATTGACTTTTTATCTTTTTGGAAGACTGCTAAAGTTTATTTATACAAAACATGTCTGTTCCTCACAGCTGTGGTAGAGTTGATGTGACTGCAAAGTAGATGGATCTCTAAGATCTCTTTTTATTTTGTCAGTCGCTAGTGTTGCCATATATTTTACCAAAAGGTAGCTGTGTGCTGAAATAGCACAAAATAGTGTCAGATATTTTCTATTGTGATAGTAGATTGTAGGAAGAAATAGCACTTTTATTCATATATGACTATATTAATAGAATTTGGTGGAGTCTAACTAGGTTTCAATAAAATAGGTCAAGTAGCTCAGTCACTTTGCTCATAATATTCTTGAAAAGTTATTTTTATCATCATTATGGATACATCCATTCTTTTTCTGGATACTATTCACATGATGCTTCCCACATTTGAAAATCTGAACTCCCTAATATTAGCTATCATTTTAAACGACTCTTGAGCCATTGTTTTTTAGTCCTATTTTTGTAACAACTGAGTTCTAACTGACATGTGTAAAAGTGATTTTATGTATTCTTGCCATTTCTGACATTATTTCAAGGTATACAACAGTTACTTTTTGGTGCGCATTTTATTAGAAAACCTTAAAAGACATTAATGCTGCCTGTTTTAGTCATGTATATTTTGTATACTAACTCTCAGGGTTTTTTAGACAGTGGCAATATACAGGGTGGTCATTTTTTTCATATTTTCTTGATATGGGCTAATTTCACTATTTATTTTGGGATAAGTATTGTGTTTTATGATTACATTTTTGCATGAAGGACTCACATATTAGTTGTTCTTGTTTGTTTTTGTTTTCACTGTTCAAATTGAAGGATCAGGCAATGATGAAATGTCTACCCTGTATGAAATATCAGTAATTTCTTGAGTTTCCTTGAAGAGAGATCAATTAAATGTGATATGTAAAATGTAGTTTGAAAGTGTACTAAAATATTTAATGTATACATTTTGTCTACTTGCTCAAATGTGCCTTTATTAGATATTTTTTCCATTCAATTAAAGTATGTAACTATAAAGTATATTCCTTGGATGATTATTGCAGATCTACTATATTTCGATTTTTTTCTCTATAATAATGTATACAGTGTGCAAAGTAAAAAATAAAATTTTCAAAATTAATTTGAGTTTTATTTTTATTGTTTGTCGCTTCTAAAAAAATGGAGGGTTGGTATATTAATACACCTGAATTATATAAATGATACATATAAAAATATTTTGCATTTATATTTCTCCATGTTATCAGAATTTGATATACTCATCTTGCCACCTTATTTTGTGATGATAAGTTATTACAAAGCTTGCAGTGTGTAGTTACTACTTGCTAGAGACTCCTGGCACCTGGAAAATACAGAAGCAAAATATTTTGCTGATATGGATATACATTTTGTACAGTTGCATGTCAGCACTTTGTTTAACCATAACATTTTCAATGTTGTTCCTATTTGTATTCTTTGTTAGATACAATTGAACATGTCACACTGAAACATTGCCATTAAGGAACATGGCTTTGCTGGTGTTAAGGCGGGAACACACTGTCACGTCACGTGGACTCACTAGCTATCACGTAAACTCACAAGCCATACAGTTAATTTACAATGTATGGAACAGAAATGGAGACACTTATTGTTCCCGCATTTTATATATTCGAAAATATATCTGAAAAATGGCAACCCTAGGTCGCCTCTGGTCTAAGCGGTGGTGCAGTCGGTCCTGGCATGTTGTCACCACAACAAGCCATGTTCATGCAGCAACAAGGAATGAGCACTTCAAGAAGCCCATTTGGGCAACAGCCCCCAGGTGGAGTATTGCAAGGGCCCCTGGCTTATCTTGAGAAGACTACCAGTAACATAGGTAGGTATAATTTAATGTTATGTGCCATAACTTTGTTTAGTGCGAGGTTATTATGCAAATGACTTTTAGTCAAAATCCTTTAAGCATATTTGATAATGCCTGTTAACCCATTCTGAGGTCGGTAAATTAAATAATACGACGTAGCGTTCAATCTGCCAACACCGGAGGCGTCGAGCTCAGAGAGGAGACAGGGAAACATGTGATCCAGCTCTTAGAGATAGCTGGTAAAGAATTGTATACCTTGACCGCATTATAAGTAAAGGACCTTTCAAAGACCAACATATGATGTATAGGAATGGAAAGTAGATCATTGTGCTGCAGACTTAGAGTAATTTGGTTTCCACGAGGAATCAACTTATCGAGTAAATAGACAGGTTTACCACTTTTAAAAATTCTATGCACCAATGAAGCCATGTAGTAGTCGTATAAGCCATCAACTCTGAGCCACTGTAACTCCTTGATTTTTGAAGAAACGCTACTGTACTTCCTAAGACCAAATATGAATCTGCAACAGTTGTTACAATACGTTAATACGTTATCAAGATCTAGGTTAATTTTCTACGATGCTTCATTTAATTTGGATTCATTGAAACGAAATTTTAGTTGTGTATCGTCAGCATACATTTGAGTGCAACAATGTTCAATACACTCATGCAGATCGAATGTGTATACTAGGAATAAAACAGGTCCCAGTACTGAACCCTGTGGATTCCGGATGACACATACCTTGCATCAGAAGTTTCTCTAGATGTTTTCACTTGTTGGGTGCGATCAGTTAGGTACGATCTGAAGAAATTCAAAGGAACTTCTGACATGCCATAATATTTTAGCTTACTCGAAAGTATCTCATGATTGACCATATCGAAAGCCTTGGAGAAATCAAGCATGACCAACCGGATTTGTTGTCAAGCTTGTAAAGTATCTCATCTGCAAGATGTAGTAGGGCAGTAGTCGTACTGTGACCTTCACGAAACCAGATTGGTGTACTGGAAAGAGATAATTATTAGCAAAATACCCAACAAGCTGTTGGTATACTATCTTCTCCAAAACTTTCGACAAGAAACATAAACCACTTATAGGTCTAAGATCGGCATGTTCAGACGGATTATTATTTTTGACCAGAGCCCCTCTCCTAAGCAAATATTAATAATATGAGTGATGTGATCAAGTATTTCAGGCAGGCATAAGCCTAGCATAGTTAGAGTGATGCCATCACAACCCGCTGCTTCAGACTTGATAGACAAGACTGCATCCATAACGTCACGAGGGGTTACCAGACGAAAGCGAAATGATGACACGTCGGGATCAAAGCGTCTGTTGCTGTAGCTGTTGACTGTGGATTGTACTACTTTGAGGGTTTGATCGGCAGGCATAAAAGTACTTAAAAAGTATTCGTTGAGTTCACGGGGATCTAGCAGATTAAACGGTACATCAACACGTTTCTGTTGACAGACATTCATAGACCTAAGTGTTTTCCATGCAGATCGTGTACTAATACCACCATATCTAGAATGGTAGGCCCTCTTCTCCGTACGGAAGTTTACATCAGATGGGTCATGACGGAAATTCGACAGAGCTTTGTCGCGTTCCTTAAAAATGCATCTCAGGTTCAATGTTATCCATGGAGCAGCCGGTTTTGTTACACGAGCAGTCCGTAATGGCGCGTGGATATCATATATTTGTATTATGCAACTAGATAGACAGCTTACTTTGCCATCAATATCCATAAAATAAAAGATATGATCCAAGTCCAGAGTGAATTAAGTCGCCCTTGAAATTAATAAGCACAACACAGAAAACTAACTTGTGGTCGGACACAATATCAGCATTAAGAACTCCCGATTTTATAACACTGTTTGAATTGCTAGAAAAAAGGGGGTCCATTAGAGTTGAGCTAAACTGAGTTACACGAGTCGGTTCATTTATTAATTGATCAAAATTAAAGCTATCGAAACAGTTGCTCAACGGATTGTCATGATTTAAATGGTCAACGTTGATGTCACCAAGAACTATTATATTATCATATTGAGGTACTAAGAAAGAAAGCATATAATTAATGGCATCAATGCTATCTGTCACTGAAGCATGAGGAGGGCGATACACAACGACAATAAGTAGGGTAGAGTTGCCTACCCTGAGTTTCAAAATCAAGAGTATCAAGAACGGTAATATTGAAATTATTTCTTATATAGAAGCCCACCCCTCCACACCTACCCAAACGATCTCTACGGAAAAGCTGTTAGCCTTCTATAGGTACAGCTTGACTAGGAATGTTTTCATTAAGCCACGTTTCGGTAATGCATATAACATCGAATTTGTTTAGAACCAAACCACAAAAACAGTCGAAAGCAGCAGTCAAGGACCGCACATTGAGATGACAAATATTTAAAACTTTGCTATTAACGCTAGCCATAGTCAATTCTAGATTTCAATTCAGCATATTTCTTTCTGTCAGATGCAGCATGATCGACTGGATATGGCTTAGAATCTTTAGAATGACTTTTCATATAATTATTATATACACAGCAATTCACACATTTCTTACTAAGAGAGTTACAATCTTTCTCATCATGGTCATTAGAACATAGGGAGCACACAGACTTATCAGGATCAACCTCTACTATATAACTCAACGAATATTTTAACTTCAGAACAGATCACCTTTATATCACAATCAGCCAAGGAATCATTATTGTGGACTATTGATTCGAGGAAAGTGTTTTTATCATCTAGTGATTTATCATCAGTAATCAAGAGACGTGGTTTGAAGGGTTTGGGAGCTGTTGCTTTATACTTACTGTTAAACTTATTCTGAACTACACGTTTAAGTTTTTCTAAAGATTCTTCATTAGAGCAACTAATCAACATTCCATTTTTTATAGGCTTAACACCATTGATACTTATTTTCTCAGCAGCAGGGTTAACATTCGCTTTAACAGTATTTAAAACCTCTGAGTTTGATTTTTTTTTGATCATTTGACGTACTGGGGCCAGCGAATTCAAGAATTGGCCTCACGAATGCCTTGTAAATGTAGGCGCAAGTGTTGACATCGGATCCTTTGAAAGACCTCTCCAGCATGTATAGAAGTTTCTTGGCTTTTGATGTTACGTGGTGAATATGCTCTGACCAGGAAAGACGATCGTTGACTACAACGCCCAGATCAGTGTGGCTGGAAACTGCTTCGATGTTGTGGTCAGAGATCTTGTATGTAAATCGCGGATTTGTCTTCCCGAGGTGAAGGACACAACACTTAGTTAGATTTAAGGGTAAAAGCCAACTGACTGACCATTGACAAACAATATCAAGATCTCGTTGAAGCATAGCAGAATTTACGACAGTATTGTAAATCTTGGTGTCGTCGGCATAAGCTGAACATGTGGAGGAAATCAATGCGAGCAGGTCACTTGTATACAGAAGGAACAGCACTGGCCCCAAGACAGAGCCTTGAGGAACTCCACTTGCTACATGATGAAGGTGAGACTGGCTATCACTGACGCGCACAGAGAAAGTCCTCCCGGTGAGAAAAGCCTTAATCCACAGTAACAACTCGCCTCTTATTCCCATACATTCCAACTTAAACAGAAGCCTTCTATGTGGTACGCGATCGAAAGCCCTAGAAAAATCTAAGTAGATTATATCAACAGGAGTCTTTGTGTCCAGATACTGAGTCCAATCGTTGAGAGAGTGGAGAAGGTTGGTCATTATTGATCGACCAGGGAGAAATCCATGCTGATTCTTAGGGATAAGGTCATTTTCGAAAGCAAATGACAGATCTTATCTAATATGATTCTTTCAGCTATTTTGGCGGCGATAGGAACGAGACTTATTGGTCGATAATTTTTAGCGGAGGATTTGTCGCCCTTTTTGAATACAGGGGTAACAGAAGCACTAAGCCAGCATGAGGGTAGGGTATGAGATCTAAAAGACGATGTGAATATCAAGCTTAATGGTAGGGCCAGTGCTGAAGCGCAGTTTTTAAGTACAGCAGCCGTCATCCCATCTTTACCAGGGGAGGAAGAGGTCTTCAGATTTCGCAGGTGCATTAATACATCTTCAGGCAGGAACTCAACTTCGCAAAGGCTGTTGGGACACCTATGGCAGATAGTGGTCGGTAGAAGGTCTCCATTGAGCTCATCGACGAAGTCATCACTAAAGGACTCTGCCAGTAAGTTGGCAGATTCGGTGGCATCCATGTGGAGATGACCGTCAGCGTCGCGGATCTGAGGTGATGAAACTTTGGAATTCAGGTTTGTTCTTAGATACCGAAACAGCTTCTTCTTATTTTTGGAGGTAACGAGTTTTCGTTCATAAGCATGTTTGGCATTATGTAACGTTCTAGATAGGAGGTTAGAAAAGGATCGATGAGACACGTAATCTTGTGAATGGCCACTCCTCCTAAACTGTTGCCACAAAGATCTCTTGTGACGAAGCATCCTCGATATGTTAGAGTTGATCCAGGGCTTTGAGGGGTCACAGTATACCTTCTTTTCAACAATATTGTCAGCCGTTTCGCTTAGGACTCGTTGAGCGAAAGTGTCTCACATATCTTGGGTTCTACGGTTGTTAAGCAAAGCAGGCCAGTTGACTTCAGACAGGGCTTGGTTAAGAGCATCGTGGTTTACAATTTTGATGGTTTTAAACTTATCGGTTGTAGAACGACTATTTATATTGAACTGGAGAGAAGATAAAAGTGAACAATGGTCAGACTTGCCAAAAGGTGGCAAATAATCTAAATTAGAAACAAAGTCGGCGTCGTTAACGAATATCAAATCCAGAGCCCTAGGCGTCTGTCCTTCCCTGAATCTCGTTGAACGATCAACAAGTTGAGATATGCTAGAGTTGCGTAGTAAGTCGACGTAAGCAGCAGAAGAAGAATTGCATTCAGGAATGCTTGACATAGGCCAGCTAATGTCACGTAGATTGAAGTCACCAGCTATGAAAAGGTTGGTGTTTTTATTTAAGAGATCTGAAATGAGACTGCACAGGTGTGTGTCTCCCAAACAGGGCCGTGGCCGATATATGCAGCCTATCGTGAAGCTGAAATTTGGGCACCTCAATTCCAAAAATAGATCGTCAATGCCATCGAAAGGACTGAAAGATGGAGATACCGAGAAAGCCGACGCGATTTCCGTGCGAACATAAATGCATACTCCACCAAAACCAGGAGTGCGTGGTGAATCCATTCTGTATAAATAGTATCCAGGCAAATTGATGGAAGAGTCGGACACGTTGGAATGCAACCATGTTTCAGTGAGGCAAGCGAACGTTGGATTATTGTCTCGAACAAATGTTTGGAGTTCAAGTAGCTTAGAAAAGAGAGATTGTATATTAGTGTAACAAACCGTCCAGTTTGCCACAGAATTTATCAGTTTTTTGAAGGTGTGATCTCCTGGGTAGCTGTGTGTACTATAGAAGGTTTACCATGAACGTATTTTATAGTAATATTACTTTCGCCTGTTGTTTGACGACGTCTAAGCTCTTCGCGAAGGTGTTGTAGTTCTTGCATTTGACCTCTGGTTTTGTCGTCAGAGATTTTTACGTGACGAAGCGTGGGGTGGCTAAGGATGGAGTTTTTCTTCCGCAAAATATTGCTGACGATAATAGGTTTGGAAAACACAACTCTAATTAAACGATTGCTTGAAGTTGTTCTGCCAAGGCGAGTGATGCTGAGTCGGTGATTTTCGGCAGATGGTTCAATATGCCTAATTATCTCTGATACTATGTTTATGTCATCGTTCCCTTCAGCTATGCCCCTCAGAATGATATTGTGGGAACGTCTAAATAACTCCATTGTCTCAGCTTGGGAGCTTGGGGCAATAGGGGTAGAAGAAGCGCCGTTGCCTGAGTGCATCGTCTCCATAGATCTTGCAAGTCTCGATTCAATATTAGCAATGTTAGAAGACAGCTCTGTTTGAATAACCTGGATATTTTGTATGTTGGTTTCGCAGGCCGCTATTAAGTCATCATGCCGAGAGATCGAGTCCGAATGTTTTTTTTTTTTTTGGCATTGGAAGTTATCCATTTACCACAGATGTGTGTTACTTATATTTCTCTAATTATGGACAAACACACGACGTCACAACATCCATGGCGAAGGCGAGATTCGAACTCGCGGCCCGGCCGGCCGGCTAATCAGTAGCATGACACTCTGACCAACGCGGCCAACCGAGGCCCCAAAGAGTCCGAATGTTGCTGTAGCGAGTTGAGATTGAGAGTTCTTAATATCCTTTATATCACTGGCCATAGTTGATAATTGGTTAAGTATAATAGTGAGAGTGTCGGTAGGGTTAGACTGATCTGGTTGTAAAGGAGCAGTGGTTTCTGAACGAGCACCGCATGTGGAAGAGGTGGATCCGCTTCGGGTAACTCGTCCCTGTTTACAACAGGCTGGGCAAGACCATCGTTCTTTTCCGCCCGACAGTTCTTCGTTGTTATCACTGTATTTTTCTACATTATCCCCATCTTCAGGATCTTTCATGTTTTTATTCTTCTTTCGTACAGTCTGACTCATGTTCCCTTATTCCAGCGGCTATATCCGGATTACCCTATACACTCTGTAGACTAGTTTCTTAATTTGATTTGACACTATTGACGAAATGTCCAAATGACAAAATGGAATATATGGTAAAATGGCTGAAGATTACTCCCACGGCTCTGGAAACTATCGCCAACAGGTCCACGGACGTACCTCTTCCTGCTCTTAACTTGAACACCTCTGGTTTTAAATATTTTTGGCTTTTCTCCGATATTTTGAGGTATTTACAGTGAACACTAATTTAGTAGTCTACTTTTTAACATTACTTCAAATGGATGTAACCGACCAGCAGAAGTTCCAGCACATATTTGAATAACAAAAAATACGACTTTACTTACAGAGCTCGGCAGTGCTAACTGTTATTTTATCGGCTGATTTTTTAATTACGACCTCCGGCATGATGATCTAGATAAAAATAATGTCTATGAACAATATAATCAGTAATAACTTTTCAGTCAAATAATTGTATATGACGAGCTATTATAATAGATTTGTTGACCGCATGGACATTGTGTAGAGCTTGTATACTTTTTCCTGGCCATCTGATTTCGCAGGAATGTCGGACGGTCGCAGGTGACGCGGGAGGGGCAGGGGTCGCGGCCGTGGCAGAGGAAGAGGCAGAGGCCGAGGCAGGACCACCACGCCTCCTGGGGGGCCCATGCCCGACTACGTTGTGACTCCTTAATCTCCCCATTCCGTCGGCGGACACTGCTGGCTCCCACAGTCGAGCGACTGTTGCGCCTGCTGTCCACCGACAAACGAACATCCAGATGACTGTCTCCAAAATACAGACGTTCACCAAGATTGGTACTACAATACTTAATGCAAGGTTCTCACCAAAAGTAACCCGATGGCAACCTGACTTCTGCCTCTGACTAATAATAAGAAGGCAGGCCATAAATAGGCTATTTTGATTCTTAAAAGCCCTGATTGGAAGGAAGATCAAATAAGTAACGCATTTTACAAATAAATCAAATCTAGGAAGATTAGTCAATCAACATATGTAGTTTTTTTTGTAAAAAACGCCCTATTATACATAACGAGTATATGTGCAATAAAGGATCTGCGGAAAGTAACACCTCAGCTTTTATAACAATCAGCCATGAAACTCTTCTGTCGGTGTCAAAAACTGCCGCTATTTCAGCGGAGAAAAACGAATGTAAATTCCCTTAGTTCAACGATAAAGAGGTTTTAGTGCTTTGCAGTAGCCGCCGTTGCCGCGTACCCTGCCAGCGGCTGCAGATATTCTCTGCACTCGTAAAAATTATAATATTCCGATATTATCTAGTGTAGTGTGTGTGAACCAATAATACAAAGAAGTATGTTTATCCCAAAAGAAGCGACGGAGTATTGATGACTACTTATTTATGGAAAAGCTTTAAAATTAATTTTTACTGGTGGAAGTAAAAAAACTATTTGCTTCTGCCAGGCATTCCTCGCTTCTACGATATTCTCAATCCATTGCATTTTCAATGTAAACAACGAACATATGTCTGTGTTGACATGTAAGTTTTTTGAGTATTTAAAATATGGGAACCGCTTACACATTCAAAACTCGCCCTGCATGTAGAAGCATCCTAGCTGAGGAGTCATCAGAAGTGTCAGGTTTGACTGCGTTGGATGTCATATTGCTGGTGGTTTGGTCTCGTGTTTTTTCGCAACAAAGGCACCGAAATTTTTCTGATTCAGTGAATGTTGTGTTTTCCTGGTATTTTTAACTGAATATATATTGAAAATGCGATGGATTGAAAATATCGCAACAGCAAAGAATGCATGGCAAATATTTCCGTTTTCTGTAAACAATTGCACCTATACAAAGTTATTTGAAAAGCTTCTCCGTAAATAAGTAGTCATCAATACTTCGCTGCTTTTTCTAGACAAACTACACTAGATAATATCGTAATATTATAATTTTTACGTTTGCAAAGAATATCTGCAACAGCTGGCGGAGTAAGCGGCAACACCGGCTGCTGCTGGGCACTAAAACGTCTTTCTTACTAGGGGGGTACGACCGGAAGATTACTGCCGTGCAAAACAAAATGGGGGTTTCTGCAATTTTCGGCATATTTGGTTCTCTATCCGTTTGCAAAAATTATTGGCAGCAACATACAATATTTCCTTAAAATTTTTATATGAAGTATGTGCACAAATGAATTCGAAGTTCACACTTTGGACGCCTTTTTCTCGGTTTCATGTTAGCTGCAGATACCCCCACTAAACTTGGCATGGTAGATTAGCTGAAGTGTTTTGATGACTTGCACATATACTTTTATCAAGTAGTGAGCAACAGCAAATCGACCGGCGGTGACAATGTTAGCAACCGTTAAGCAAGTGGTTGCATTGCTATCTTTTTGGTGCGAATGATTGTATACGAATGCATGTGTCGAGCCGAGTTACCGTTGCTTTTGATGAGAACAACCCTTATTAGTCTTGAAGGCGAGAGCAGCAATTCCAATATTAATTACATCACCTTTTGTTTGTCAAATAACTCAACTACCTGAGCTAGGCAAACATGTCTTTCGTTTGTTTAGTCAGGAAATTTTGATTGCAACTACACATCAAAAGCTAAATTATGTCATAAGACTAAGATTTTTTTCTACTTGGCTGTATGATGGCGACTTTTATCACACTTTGCGATATGGTTGTTGATTTAGAAATTTCATGTTCTGGTCGTCTTCTGGAAAACTACTAACCTCAAACTGATAGATCATCACCAAAATTAATATTTATAACATGTTAAATGAGATATGGCTGTTTTTATTTTTTTCTAAAATACCTATGTCAATCAAATCCATATGCTCCTTCAGACAGATCCACAATCACTGGTATTTTTTTTCAACACTAAAGCAAACTGGAATTAAGCATTTTATAAGGTTGATTCATAAAACTTTTCCTTTGTATTATCATTTTCAATTTTTATCCTTAAATTTAGACGTGAGGAAATTGACGTTCATGAAATCATAAATGGTAATTTGAATGTTGCTTATTTTTTTATTTCGACGTTCACAGAACACCAAAATTTGTGAATATTGTCATAAAAAAGATTCGGTAATATTTGAGTCCAAACTGGACAAGAAATGAATACGTATACAATCATAGAACCACAGAACGACAAGGGACCACAAAACCAGCAGAACTATAATACAAAGGGTACTATAAAAGTTTTGCAATATAGCTTTATTTATTGAATTCGTTCAAAGTAGTTTCCACAACATTCAACACACTTCTCCATCCGCCAAAACCAGTCTTTAAACCAGCTCTGCCAAGTTTCACCCGGGAGTGCGGCATACTCGTCCCAATCCCTCAGAAGGTCCTCATCGCTAGAAAACCGTTTTCCTTTTAGCTTCATTTTCACTTGCGGAAACAGTACAAAGTCGCAGGCAGCAAGATCCGGACCGTAAGGAAGGTGCTCAATAAGTTTCAGTCCAGTAGTGGTCAAATACTCGGTGCAGGCTTTGGTGCGGTGAGCTGAAACGACGTCATGGTGGAGGTACCAAGTGTCCATTCTTGACTTTGGCCGCAGATTTTTCATAGACTCTTTTCTGCTCTTCCGTCAGACTATGCGGTACCCAGAGAGAACAAAGTTTCCTTACATGTAAATGGTCATGCAGAATTGAATGAATTGCTGGTGCATAAAGGTGTAAGGTCTCCTCTACCTGTTGGTATGTCACTCTCCGGTCTACGTCAAGCACTTTTCTCACAGCAGTAAGTTTTTCCTCTGTTACTGACGTTCGCGGCCTTCCTTCCCCCTCAGCGTCCTCCAGAGTGAAATTGCCCCTTCGGAATTCTCTGTACCACCTGAATATAGTCGTACGATGAGGACAATCATTTTTTTAATGCATGCGTCATTTCTCCTAAGCACTGATTTATGCTTAAACCACGCGTAAAGTTATAATGTAAAACTGCCCTTATCTCACTACGTGACCACATGCCATAGTCCGCACTTTAACTGTAAATACGAATGCACAATTAAATCAACAGACGTACTGCTGGCGGCTACTATGTACTGATGGACATGTTTCAACATGGCGTAACATGCAGCCTCCTGCGTCCGCTTGTTAAGTCATATTGCAAATCTTTTGTAATACCCTTTGTAAAAGGCTCTTATTGTATATCTTGCCACATTGCATATATAAAAAATTCAATTTATCAAGAACACGGCTTATTTAATGCATTTATTTTTATCGGTGATCTAACAAAGCTTTCTTATTTCGATAACGGAAAAGGAAGGATATTTTGCGAAACTGTAGCATTAACGTTTGTAATAAGGAAAAAGTTGACCAACTGTTGTAGATCAGTTTTACGAAGGTTAAATACGAAATTGTTTCATGAATGAACATTAATGTAAAAGCAAACGAAACGTTTCTGGAACCAGCCTATAATACTTATTCTCCTTACCTTCAATTTTTTACAGTCTAAATGTGGAAAACTATTTCCTATGATACATCTTTCTCAAACTAGTATTATTGGATAAAATAAAGAATTGAAGCTATTTCATAAATGGATATCTGATTTTATAATTTCATCCCATTTTACATCATAGTTTTGGTCTTGCAATTTTTGTGGTCTAGCAAGTTCAAAAATGAAAATAATTTTTAATGTACTTTTAGCCTGTAGTATTTTAGAGATAAACGGCTTTTCTAAAAAAAAGGATATTGAAGCATTTCTACCATAATATCATATTACAAAAATTCCACACAGTCGAGGGCAAGTAACTTTTGCGCGCATTATATCTGCTTGGTTTTGGATGAAGCAATAATTGGACTATAGTTTTATTGCGTAAGAAAAGGAAGAAAGATTGGCATTTAAGTTATGTTGCCGAGATGGCCGTTCGGGTTTTTAAAAAACTTTATTTTTACTTTTACAAGACAATACAATATACTTGATATATTTTATAATGGATAAATGTACAATACGGCGAACAAAACGAGTAATGTTATGGAAAGCATCAAGAACCTCTATTTATCACCTCGGCTTGGATGCTTTCCTCAGCATTTTCTTCTTCCACGTGCATCCTTTCCTGCATCATAACTCCTCCCCACCTAGTCTGAAAACTGAATAGGAGCGTTTTCTGTTTTCAGTAGGTTTTGTTCTTGTTGCATCTTTCTTGGGCCTTTCTTCACTGGATTCGGGATTTTCTTCATCTTTCTTGTCTTGGAGTAGGTCATTTTTCTTCTGGATTTGTTTTTTCCAAATATACCAAAAGATTACTGCTACTGTAACAAGCAGAAAAATAGTAAAAACTGAGCTGCTAGAAAACCAAATTAAGGGATCAATAGCGGCTTCTTCTTGCATTTGAAGAAAATTTGCTTTCTCTTGCATTTCCTTAATCTTGCTGAGGTCAATAGTCTTGAGGATTAAAGCTTTCTTGGATACGAAGTTCGATCTTGCATTCCAAAACTTTATTTCTGGAAGGACCAAAGGGTTTCCTTTGACTTGATCCTCTTTGTTCCAAAACTTGGATGAGTTGATTTGTATTCCACAATTTTCGGGTATTTCGACTAAACTTGGCGTTTCTAAAATAAGTGGTTGTTGAGTACCACACAACTTGACTGCTGTAATCGGCTGATGAGCGGGTATGACCAAAATGTGTTTTGCTGATATTGCTTCAACAATAGGACTGGATACTTGTAACCTTGTGAATTGGCATTTTGAAAATTCGGCTTTCTTCAGTAACTCGTTTAGACAACCTTGAATGGGTTCTTGTCGATTCTTGCAGAAGTAGACGTGTTCAATTTCTGGACATTCTTCTTCTTCAAATTGTTGATGACTTGTTCCAAGACCCAAAAAGGGATGGGTTGGAATAATGGTTGAATTTCTAATTGGAACTGGGTATAGACGGAAAAATTGGAATTTTTCATCAGATAATATAGGAAATCTTATAGAAAACAAGATTTTATTATCAGTAAATGTAATTTGTGGATCAGCTACTAAATAGTATGATTGTAAATTTTGAAAGTTTGGTACTTTCTTTTTACCATATAATTTTACTAAATACTTTATGTTTTTCTCTAAGTCTGAAACTGATATGATAGAACTATGTAAAGTGTTCAATTTTGAAAACATTATAGCGTCCTCCAAAAATTGTCTAAAAATGTAATCAAATTTTGACAATTTAGATTAAGTTGCTGTAAAATATTTTCAGCGTGAAGATAAGCTGTCAAGCTTCCTACAGTTCCATTCATCGCATTTTGCAGATGATACAATTTCGTTTTGATCTGTACCTGATTAGAGCTTAATAATGAAATTGTAGAATTGTAATTATCTATCAATTCTTTAGTTAGTGAGGTCTGAAGTTTTAGTTGACTATGCACAGAATTTGCGTTCTTTTGTAATTTATGAAGTGCATTATTAATTTTGATTTCGTCATCTGAGTCCATTGTACCGAAAAGAAACTTTGAAGTTTTTCCTACGAGATTAATCAATCCTCGTTTCTGACGAATACGTGGAACAATGTTATCTAATTTTTTCGTAGCTTCTTGTATCAAAAATTTCGTATGCTTAAGGAGATTTGATAATCCAAAGTGCAAGTCTGAATGATCAGCATTTAAAGGCTTGAGAGAATTTTTTTTTAGTTTTTCGTAATAATTTTGGATATTCGTAATCTGTCTTGTTATTGAAGTAGTTTCTACAAAGTGAATAAAAGTATGATACGATTCTATAATACTAGCGTTACCTAGCGAATAAGGGAAAAGCGGGGCTTTTAAGGGTGTGACAACTGCGTCATTGTTGGCTTTGGTTGTCGCGACTAGTAGAAGGGATAGAATGACTATCGGAACCTTCTTGATTTCCAGATTCATGATCCTGCGGAAAAGAAGAATAAGCTTTAGGTTTTTGAATTTGAGATTTGTGTACTAAACCTTTGCGTTTATTGATAGTCCGTACTTTTGTACCTAAATCTTTCTTAACTTCAGTTTTTGTGAATCTTGGTTTTCATTTACTCCAAGAAGCGGTTTTATCTTTGACATATGCTTTCGACCCTTGGGGAAATTTGGATGGATCTTCTCTAGTTTTATTACGCTTTTCTATAATATTCTTTTTATGAGCGTCTGTTGCTTGGCGTATATTGTTGTAAATGAATTTTAGTCTTTCACGTCTATCATCAATGAATTGGCTAACAATGATTTCATCTGATAGGTCAAATGGATCTAGGACATCTAAGCGGCCATTTATAAGGTCGAATGGTCGTTGTTTTGTAACACTGTGAATTGACGTGTTATATGCCAAAATTGCATTTTGCATTAGTTCTTTTGGGCATAATTTTGGAAATTTAATTTTTAGAATTCTTAAGAGTTCTAGCAGGGTTGAATGTAATCGTTCTATGGGACTGTTGCTATTCGAATTACATGGTGTAGTAAAGTGAAGCTGGATTTTTTGTAATTTACAAAATTCAGTAAATAAGGAATTATTGAATTCTCTTCCGTTATCAGTAGTAACTGATTGAGGAATGCCGTGATGATTCACAAATATCAAAATATTTTCATACACTGTTGTGGCTGTACAAACTGGATCTAAATGATAGGCTTGTGCATATTTTGAAAATGAATCAATAACAGTAAGAAATTTTGTGTTAGAAAATTGGAAAGTGTCCATATGTAAGACTTCTAGGGGTTGCTTTGGCGTTGGTGTAAGTGAAAATTTTATTTTTGGTGGATGTCTGTCATACTTTGCTACTTGACATAACTCACAATTATTTATGTATTCTGTTACCATTTTTTGCATATTCTTCCAGTAGTATAGTTTTTTAAGGGAAAGTAACGTTTCGTTAATTCCTCTGTGACAAGTCTTTGTTTCATGATGATGAGAGATTAATTCTTTTTGTCTGTCTTTGTCTGAAATATCTCTAACAAGCTGATTGGAAAAATAAAGTTTATATGCGTGGTTTTTGAAATACAATGGTAGTATTTTGCTAATCTGGATATTTAAATCTTCAATTTCTGAACCTTTGACAAAAATACAATATACTTTGTTTGGATCAACATAGTCTTTGAAAAACCTTATGATTTCTTCCTCTATGTTATCGCTAAGCTGTAACTGTATTTTATTAACATTTTCGAAGGGCTTAGTCCTTACAATATGATATCGATAGGATGATTTCTGTTCTATAATTATCTGATTAGAAAATTTGTTAGTAATATATTCAGTGAAGGGTATCTCTAACATGGGATTTTCTACTGCTACTGCTACTTCTACAATTTGGATATCTGAAATTATTTGTATTTTGTTAGAGTTATCAGGAACTTCAGGGATGAGAAATTCCTCTAGTTCTTGTAAGTCTTCAATATTTATTTCGGGGTTATCATCGTCTTGTAGAAACTGAAGGATATCTTCATCAGAATCTCCAGGATTTGCAATTATTGATTGATCCGTTTCATCTTGGATGGCGTTAAGTTCTACGCGAGATAAAGCATCAGCATTGCTATTTACTTTTCCAGGTTTATATTGAATTTTGTAATTGAACTGTTGAAGAAACAGTTTCCAACTTAAAAGTCTGGGGTTATGTTCTTTCATGTTAAACAAATATTCGAGGGGTTTGTGGCCGCTAACTATGGTAAACTCACGTCCCCATAGATATGGTTTGAAGTATTTCACACCATATACTACTGCTAATAGTTCTTTTTCTATTGTGCTATAATTACATTCTGCTGGATTTAGACTTCGTGATGCATAGGCAATCGGTCGATCCTGTCCTACTTTTCCTTGGCTAAGAATACAACCTATTGCGTAATTTGAGGCATCAGTAGTCAAAATAAAAGACTTTTCAAAATCTGGGTATTGTAAAATAGGTTCGTTGGTTAGAATATTTTTGCAAGTTTCAAAAGCTTTGATAAATTCTGCATTATGTTCAATTTTTGATCCTTTCTTAAGACATTTCGTAAGTGGTTTTGTTAATTTGGCAAAATTTTCGATAAAGCGTATATAATAACCTAAAAGACCTAGGAACGATTTGATTTCTTTGACTGTTTTTGGAATTGGGAATTGTGTTATTGCTTGTATCTTTTTGGGATTTGGTTTTACACCATCACAAGTAACTACGTGTCCTAAATATTCAACTTCTTTGCATAAAAATTCACATTTGTCTGGTTGAATTTTCAATTGTGTGTCCCTTAGTCTCCGAAATACTAATTTCAAATTTGCAATATGTTCTTCAAGACTAGTGGAAAAAATTATAATATCGTCCATATATACTAAATAAACTTTTCCTTGTAATCCTTGTAAAACATTGTCAACTACTCTCTGAAATGTACTTGGGGCATTTTTCAAACCATATGGTAAGCGGGTATACTCGTAATGTCCATGTTCTACACTAAAAGCGGTTTTTTCGATAGAGTTTGGATGCATCTCTATTTGATGAAATCCGGAAGCTAAATCTAAAGTACTGAAGTATTGACATCTACCTAACTTGTCCAATATATCGTTAATATTAGGTAATGGATATCGATCACTTATTGTTTTTTCGTTCAGCTTTCGAAAATCTGTTACTATTCTCCATTTTTGTTTCCCACTAGCATCCATCTTCTTACTAACGATCCAGATAGGTGAGCTATAAGGACTTTGACTAGGACGTATAATTCCATCGTCTAACATTTTATTTATCTGTCTTTGAACTTCCTCTTTATGAACAAAGGGATAACGATAATTTTTTGTATGTACTGGAATTTCATCAGTAGTTTTTATTTCTTGTTTAATAATATTAGTGAACGTTAGCTTTTCGTTTTCATTGTAAAATATATCCCTAAACTCATGGCAAACTTTTAATAAAGTCTGTTTTTCCTCACTGTTCAAATGATCAGTCCTAATTAATTTCGATACTTTCTGTATGCTTTCGTCACTATGTTTTAGTTCACCAATAATATCCTCAATATGAAAAATATAAAAGTTATCACTAACTTCTTTAGAATATTCAATTACGTCTAACGGATTTGAAAAATCTATCGTTATTTGTTCATCTGAATGGTTATAAACTTCTGTATAAGCAAACCATTCATTCGAAATAGTCAAGGTCTCAGGGAAATATTAGCCATTTATTTCACCTTCAGGGATTATAACGGGGCTATTGTTAATGCTCACAGGAACTTTGATAAGAGCTACCTCGTGTGCATTTACCGTTATGCTATATGGTTCAGTGTCAAGTTCACGGAAAAATATGGGAATACGCAATGACTCACTAATTAAAAGTCGATTAGTAAGGTCTATGTTGAGATTTAAACGTAGTAATTGTTTTAATCCTAATTAAAAAAACGCAAAACTCACGATGGAGAGACGAGTTCGCACACTGCTTTTGGACGTAGCTTTTGATAGCGCCTTTCGAGGTCTATGGAAGATAACTTTTTGTGATGAAAAGGTTGAGTGAATTTTTATGCAAAGAAGTTGAATATTTAGGACACGTAGTTACTTGTGATGGTGTAAAACCGAATCCCAGAAAGATACAAGCAATAACACAATTCCCAATTCCAAAAACAGGCAAAGAAATCAAATCGTTCCTAGGTCTTTTAGGTTATTATAGACGCTTTATCGAAAATTTTGCCAAATTAACAAAACCACTTACGAAATGTCTTAAGAAAGGATCAAAAATTGAACATAATGCAGAATTTATCAAAGCTTTTGAAACTTGCAAAAATATTCTAACCAACGAACCTATTTTACAATACCCAGATTTTGAAAAGTCTTTTATTTTGACTACTGATGCCTCAAATTACGCAATAGGTTGTATTCTTAGCCAAGGAAAAGTAGGACAGGATCGACCGATTGCCTATGCATCACGAACTCTAAATCCAGCAGAATGTAATTATAGCACAATAGAAAAAGAATTATTAGAAGTAGTATATGGTGTGAAATACTTCAAACCATATCTATGGGGACGTGAGTTTACCATAGTTAGCGACCACAAACCCCTCGAATATTTGTTTAACATGAAAGAACATAACCCCAGACTTTTACGTTAGAAACTGTTTCTTGAACAGTTCAATTACAAAATTCAATATAAACCTGGAAAAGTAAATAGCAATGTTGATGCTTTATCTCGCGTAGAACTTAACGCCATCCAAGATGAAACGGATCAATCAATAATTGCAAATCCTGGACATTCTGATGAAGATATCCTTCAATTTCTACAAGATGATGATAACCCCGAAATAAATATTGAAGACTTACAAGAACTAGAGGAATTTCTCATCCCTGAAGTTCCTGATAACTCTAACAAAATACAAATAATTTCAGATATCCAAATTGTACCCCCTCAGCCAAGTGATGACAGTATTACAGTCCATACAGCAGTAGAAAACCCCATATTAGAGATACCCTTCACTGAATATGTTACTAACAAATTTTCTAATCAGATAATTATAGAACAGAAATCATCCTATCGATATCATATTGTAAGGACTAAGCCCTTCGAAAATGTTAATAAAATACAGTTACAGCTTAGCGATAACATAGAGGAAGAAATCATAAAGTTTTTCAAAGACTATGTTGATCCAAACAAAGTATATTGTATTTTTGTCAAAGGTTCAGAAATTGAAGATTTAAATATCCAGATTAGCAAAATACTACCATTGTATTTCAAAAACCACGCATATAAACTTTATTTTTCCAATCAGCTTGTTAGAGATATTTCAGACAAATACAGACAAAAAGAATTAATCTCTCAACTTTAAAGTGGATCTTAGTTTTCATGCTTTCTGCGTAAATTCGATATTAGGAATAATTTATTCTTACTATGAATTAGTAAACTTGTCACCATTATAAACTATGAATTGAACGTTTGATGCGTCATGCTACGTATGTCAAATATGCAACTCTATTGTTCTGAAAAAAAAATTCGGACTGGCTGAAATTGGTATTTTGTAAAATTGTTAGAAATTACTGCTTGTATATGCATGAGAAGTATTTGACATAATAGGCCCACACTTAGGGAACGACAGCCAGCAGCTATTTGAAATTAACGAAAAACACCAATATTAAGTTGTAGTTCTCTGAGTGTGCCCATAATGATACATTCGAAATTTGACAAATTTAGTTTGAATGATTACACCAACACAATCTGAACATTTTCACGAAAATATTTTTTGTCAAAAAATCCTGTATTGTTTCTTAGTACTGGCTTAATCATTTTCTTTTAAAATTACCGAAAGGATTAGTCAATCTCATTTCCCAAGTTAAAAAAAATAACCATGTTCAAGTATAACAAAATTTGCTGGTTCCAAACATTGAGCTTTTTTTGCTATGCAGCAGATTGTACCAACTTTATCTGCTTCAATTCCTGGTAATATTTTTGAATAAATAATTCGTAAAAAAATGGAACATTTTATAGATATTGTTTGGTCAGTATTTAATATTTATACGTTTTCGGGAAAAGGGTAATTTGTTGTTTCAAGGTTTAGCTTTTAATCAAATATTTTCCTTGAGTTACAAAGTTATGGGTGACTCAACCAATTAGCTTTTGTAGGTAATGGGATTTTTTAAACTAAATAAAGGTATTTAGCAGGTAAGTTTTATGCAGTGTATGTTGTATATTTATAACACTGATACTGACAATGTAGCGAATTTTTTGTTGATAGTAAATTTTGGTTGTAATTTTAACAAGTAAATATAGTACTGTAAAGGAGCAAGTTAAAACGTTCTATAATTTTCATAGATAATTATTGGTATTATGCAAAATATTAATGTACTTTCCAATAACAGATTAGTTAATTTTGACTAGAATTTGTGTATTTGTGATCTCTTTAGGTTAAATCTCTGAATGATTTTATTGATATGATCAAAAGAACCAAAACGCATTGCAATAAATACATTTTATTATTTCTGTGATTAAGCTTAGGGGCATGTATTGGATAACACTGGATTTGTATGTTAGTTACCAATGTATCCTTTATGTTGTGCTGATGATTTTTTATGTGTAACGTTACCGAATTTCAAAATTGTGATATCAAATAAGAATAAAGGATTAGTATACTTATGCTTGTCGTTTCATCGTTGTACCACGTGCGGTCTAAATAAGTTGGAAAACAGTAAATCAGTATTCAGCAACATTTCAAGATTTTCCCATCTGGCGCCATGATCATAATTCAAAAAATGCTGCTTCGGACAATTATCAGTCTCAACCGACATGTCTACTATTGAAATATTTTAATCAAATAAAGAAACATGTGATACGTAACTATTTTATGTTTATTTGATGTAAATGTAACATAGTGCCTTATTTTAAATTAATAATTAATTCAGTTGCCTTTCAATAAATTCGATGAGCGTTCTAGTAGGTCTGCCAGTCATCCCTGTAAAGAATAATTATTTTAAAAAAAATCAT